CCTGTATTCCCTTAAATGATCAACAACAAAAATGAATTAAATACAAACAATAAATTTGGTACTTTTTTGGAATAAAACTTTTCAAATATTTAAATATTTCTTTCTTTCATCTTTAATGTAACGACGTAATTTAATAATTAAATTTATTTTAGCTTTGTTTTTTATGTTGGGCTTGTTTAATACAGTAGTAATATTTTTTAAATAAAGAAAACAAAAAAAAGTCGAATTTTTTAATAAATCAGATGAGGTAATTGATTGAACTTGTTTTTAGTAGTATTTTAACGTTTTATTCAAAAAAGGAAAAATAAAGAAAAAAAAAATCAATTTCTAATTTTAGATTATGAGTCCTTGTTAAAGTTTTAATTTCGTGTAACGATAAATAATACTTTTAATTGTTAGATCCTTGTATTATGGAAACAATTATCACTTAAGTACATTTTTATAAGTTTTGTGAACAAAGAGTAATCAAATATTACAGATTCAAATTGTATCAGATAATTTATTTCGGTAAATTTGATCATATATAATACTATTCCGTTGTAAATACATGATCTACAGAATAATTGAATTATTTCAATAAAATTCGTTGGAAATAAATAAATAAATAAATGATTGCTTACTCTAATTATAAATTGTGGTACATCTTCAATAAAGAAGTTTGTAAAACTTCCCCAAAATATTTTAACTTCTGCTTCTTTTGATATACTAGGTACGCAAAAATAACGTAAATTTGCTAATCGTGAACTAATCACATTTAATATGGCGACGTCAGCTGAAGTAAAATTCATAAGCCACTTGCTAAATTATATTTTTCTTTTAATATTATTTATATATATATATATATGTATAATGCGAGAATTGAATTAAATTCAATTGGTCCAACTAAAAAAAGATGCTTTAAAAATATTAGTTAGTAAATAAATAATAGTTACCGTATTTTTGTATTTTTTCTGATGAAATAATATCATTATATACTAGTATATTTGAATTCTTGCCTGTGGATTTCGATACCTTACTATAGAAAATATAATTATGCTTCTCCCGAGAAAAAAATTTGTTATTAATTCATACTCAATTGGCGAGAACAGCGGTAATTGTAATTAACATGACCAAAAAAATAACATTTATTAAGAAGAATTGGTAATTCATGTTTGTATTTCGTTCTTTGTATATAAAATGTGTTTTGTTTAACAGAATATTTACTTGTAATAGATCAAAAATAAAAATTATTTTTTCTTCGATCTTTACTTATATATAATTTTTTTTTCCTCACAATATAAAAAAAATAGTGTTTGATGATTGCTTTAACTGTAGTTAGATAACAAATACCTATGTAACAGATACTCACGATTGTAACATAAAAGGAAATTACTGTTTCCTTTACTTTGCAGAAACTTTTAAAATCGAAACCATATCGTAACTATATCAAAACTTTATCAAAGAACTGATTTAATATCATATCGTGACCAAATCTTGATTATAAGTTTACGCGGATCGATGGATCGTATGTATAAAGTTCCGGCTCGTGCAAAAATAGTATATAACATATAGTAAATGTATATTTAAATTATATGTATTAAATGCCATGTTTAAGTTATAGTAAACATTGCAGTAAAGTTATAGTTTATTTATTTTAAAGTTGATATATTAAAAACTTTATTTAGAAATATTAAATTGTTCTATCCTAAATCTAATTAATCATACAATAATTATTCAATCTATAAATAAAACTAATTGTTCAATAAACATAGATATAAATTTTCTTATAATGTTAAATGTTCTCTTAACTTTATTAATAAAATTATTTTCGAAATTTTCAAAACTTACTAGAATTCTGGTATTCCTATATTTGGAGCCATTACTCTAAAAAAAAAAAAAATAAATAAAAAAAATAAATAAATAAAGGTTATTACGTATTAAAATGTTTTTTAAAAGAAAGTCTTTGAAAGTATTCTGAAACACACCTCCGGGGTTCCTGTAACAAAGATGGGGCTGGTGTCTTATGAAAGACATCAGGAAGTTCGGTAAGTGTTGATTCACACCGTATACACGTTGATCAACACTAGCTAGTAGTTGTTCACACCCGTATACTGGAGTATATCAACGCAAGATAAACAATGTTATTAAAATATCTTTTTAAATTTAGTTTCGAAATTATTTTGAAACTCACATTTATCTTTTATAATTCCATTGTGAAGTTCTAAGATTTTCGCTTCTTGGTACAGTATCTTTAATCCGACTTGGTTTAATTCAACTTTCACGACACTCTACAAAATCCCTAAGCTTAGAAAAGGTACCTCATCGATATCTAAATTAGTAAAACATTTTACAAAAAAAATTTTTAAAAAAACCTTCAAATCTCATCCCCCCGTCTAGAAAAGTCATCTAAAACAAAAGAATAAAATTCGAAAAACATATAACCCCAATTTTCTTTCCTCATCCCATATAAAAAAAAGATAAAATTTGAAACGTTAACATAGTACGTTTCGTTAGAATAAATAAACTAAAACAGAGAAAAAAAACTTACCAAAAATGAATCCCACGTGTCCAAAGAGACCCGAAGAACTACCCGAAAAAAAATGAACTGTTAGTGACCGTTCATTAAAATAAATTAAAGAAAAAAAATTTTTTTCTAAAACTTACAAAATGTCGCATAGGAGACCGAGGGAGCCGCCTAAAAAAAGAAAAAAAATTGAAATGTTATAACGTTTTATTATCATTATAGAATTTGATTTTTTTTGTGGGTTTTCTTCAACTCTTTTTTAAATAAAATACGAGAAAAGAAATAAAGGACGAGGCAGAAAAACGAAATTTATCTTTTTATAAAAAAAAATTAAAAATATGACGGTTAAAAAAACCATAAAGAAAATAATTTTTTTTTTAAAAAAAGATATAAAACAATGAAGAGGAGAAGGAATGAAGAGAAAAATGAAGGAAAGAAATGGGTAAAGAGCAAAAGGGAAGATTTTCGTTAGAAAAAAAGTTTAAAAGTTAAAAATAGTTTATTTTTATATTAATGATTGCTAAGTTAAAAAAAGTTTAGATCACTATGGTTATTTTATAATATCACATGTATCACATGATACATAAGGCTTTTCTCGATGTTAAAAATTTCAATGAATTTATTATAAAAAATACGAATAAAATAAATTGGCAGATTCATCGCCAAATAATATTTAATACATCTAAGAAATATCTTAGATTAATTTTCACTACTAATTCTCACCTATTTAATAGCATTTTACAACTTCGTAAAGATATGTTATCGCGAGATCGTTTGGTATTTTGATACCATGTCGTCACATGTTGGATAATAGATCGTTGTGATTTGATGGCGATTTCTTAACTGCATGGTAATCAAATCGCGGGTTTCTGCAAAGTAGAACAAACTACGAAAAAAATTTTTTTTATATTCTTATATTTCTTAGATTTTTTTAGTCCAAATTTCTTTTTATCGGATGATTAACCGGCTAACCTGATACTACAGGCATATTACACGAACGGTGTCAAATTATAAAATAACTAATCTTTAAAAGGTATTTTGTTAATCACATTTTTATTTTATTCTTTTCAAAATAGAAATTAACGGCACAGATTATAAAGAAACAAACAATATCGAAGTTAGAAATGAAAAAAAAATGAAATTGAAAAGAATAAAAATGAAATTGAAAAATTGAAGGGGAATGAGGTTAATAATTTAAGACTTTATGTAATTTTTTTTATATATATAAAATATTCTTTAATTTATAATAATGCAATCAATTATGATCTAGCGAAGGATCTATACTAGGTCCCTTTCATAATTTCCCGAAGTATCTCTGCCAGGTCTCGAAAGCGTAGCCTTAACTTCGCCGTTTTTTTCTTTCGATGGACTTTCGTCTTTTTGAGCATTTTTTCTTTAATGATTAAATTAATAAAATTAATAGATTTCTTTCGTTGTTTTTTAAAAAGTAATAATATTGTATTTGTATTTACCTTTCAATTAATTGATCTAAATTCAAAGGAGAGGCTGTTACGATAGTAGCCATAAGCACAATCAAGAGAGCAAAGAATATTTGACGCGAATTCATTTTTATATAGTGTTTGGATCTTTTTGTGATTGGATATTTTTAATTTCTTATTTAAAAGAATTATTTTTTTAAAAAAATTTTATTTGATTTTCTGAATTAGTTGAATTGGTGAAATTCTGCTGGAAAGCCATTTATATATTGATTTTTTCAATATTATTTATTAAATAGGGCCTGTATTCCCTTAAATCAACAACAAAAAATTAAATACAAACAATAAATTTGGTACTTAGGTACTTAAGGTACTTACTTTTTTGGAATAAAACTTTTCAAATATTTAAATATTTCTTTCTTTCATCTTTAATATAACGACGTAATTTAATAATTAAATTTTATTTTAGCTTGTTTTTTATGTTGAGCTTGTTTAATACAGTAGTAATATTTTTTAAATAAAGAAAACAAAAAAAAGTCTAATTTTTTAATAATCCAGATGAGGTAATTGATTGAACTTGTTTTTAGTAGTATTTTTAACGTTTTATTCAAAAAAGGAAAAGTAAAGAAAAAAAAATCAATTTCTAATTTTAGATTATGAGTCCTTGTTAAAGGTTTAATTTCGTGTAACGATAAATAATACTTTTAATTGTTAGATCCTTGTATTATGGAAATTATCACTTATGTACAATTTTATAAGTTTGTGAACAAAGAGTAATCAAATATTACAGATTCAAATTGTATCAGATAATTTATTTCGGTAAATTTGGCCATAATTTAAAGCGCGCGTAAAAACCAATAAATTGGCTAATATTATAACAACAAAAGTGTAAATGTGATGCAAATAAAAGCTCAAATCATACGAAAAAGGTTTTAGATTGTTTTATATAAAAAAGTTCGAATTTTTTCCGTTACCTTTCTAGGACTTCTTAATAATAATAATAGTCGAAACAAAATTTTATTTTTTTTAAACCTTTTTGAATGTCTATTTCCTTGTTTTTTTTTTAAAGAAATAGAAATACATAACAATAATGTAAGAAAAAATTCTTTATGTAATTTCTATAGTATCATCATCCTTTCTTAATTGATCTTCGGATATTTCAATACTCTTATTTGAATTTATTTCGATTACATTTGTAGGAGGTTCTTCATGTTTTATATTTTGTCTTTCAGAAAAAGGTATTTTATAATATAGCGCATCAAATGTTCTTCCAATAAGACTAAATATTATCGAAATACCAGCGGATATTAAAGAAAATATAGGAATTGGATCATATATAATACTATTCCGTTGTAAATACATGATCTACAGAATAATTGAATTATTTCAATAAAATTCGTCGGAAAAAAAAAAAATAAATAAATAAAAGATTGCTTACTCTAATTATAAATTGTGGTACATCTTCAATAAAGATGTTTGCAAAACTTCCCCAAAATATTTTAACTTCTGCTTCTTTTGATATAGGTGCGCAAAAATAACGTAAATTTGCTAATCGTGAACTAATCATATTTAAGATGGCGACGTCAGCTGAAGATAAAATTGTAAACATTGATACTAGTTTTGTATTATTCATAAGCCACTTGCTAAATTTTTCATTTGTATATTTTTCTTTTAATATTATGTATAATGCGAGAATTGAATTAAATTCAATTGGTCCAACTAAAAACAAGATGCTTTAAAAATAATAAATAAGTAAATGAATAAATGTATTCCTATATCTTAGAATTAAAGAACAAAAGAAAAAACGATATTTTAACATAAAATACCTTGGTATAAAAAATGAGAGAACTTGTTGTGCGTAATATATAACGAATGCAATGTCCAAAATAAAATCTAAAATTATTAACGCAAACGAAAATATCAAAATATTTCGTGCCTAGGATATTACGAATAATTTAATTACTGATTTTTTTTTTTTTTTTGATGAAATAAAAGCATTATTTATATTTGTATTCTTACCTGTGGATTTCGATATCTTACTATAAAGAATATAACAATGATTAATATTGCTCCACCCGAGAAAAATATTAGACTCAATTTCATTTTGGCATTCCATCCGTCAGCTAACATTATTTTTTTTTAAAAAAAAAAAATTAATTATGATGAGAATGTAAAAAGTACAGTTTTGCGAATAACTTACGTGTTATCGTAGTACCGAAATCCTCATCCAACAAATTAGTTAAAGGATAATGAGATATAAGTGTAAAATCTTTATTTCTAATTAAAGAATCTAAGTTGCTTATTATGTCTTTAACACAAGGTTTTGTTAATTTAGTCGGTTGTGATATTTCTACTTGTAAAATAGTAAACTGATTAGAATCAAATGGATCACTTTGAAATTTTCCTGTATCAGATAACCTAGATCTATCAACTGGGATAATTTCAGATAATTCATTCATTAAATCGTTATAAAAAATTTTAAATCCATCCGAACTAAGACCGTTTATATATTTTGTCCCTTCAGCATTAAGTCTTAATAATATAGTAGCGGATGCTATTTAGTGCCAGCAAGGGAAAGAGATTATGATAAAAGAGAAAATAAAATTGAGTGCTTAAATCAATAAATAGAGTTAATAATAAACTAATGTAAGTTTTAATAACTTTTACGTAAACATGAATCGGGTTCGTTCCAAGCTAAAAAAAATCAAATAAAATCAAATATAAATATTATTATAATTAGATTAATCAATATTTTTTACGATAATAATACTTACACGTATTTATAAACCAAACTTTCTTATTAATTCCCATAATCGCCTCATTATATTGTTTAGAATTTACAAAACCATCATCAATTGTAATAAAATAATTTGCTTCTGGATTACTAAAAGTACTTGAAAGTACTTTTATATTTACAATTGTATCGTTAATGGTTGAAGTATATTTTGACCTTCCAGGATATGTTTGACGTAATAATTCTTTTCCATCATCAAAAACTTGATAAATCGATATGTTACCAAATGAGAAAATTACGGGCTTATTATAATTTATTATAATTTTATCAAGATCTTTTTTCATAATTATATTATTAGGAGTTGTTTCTACGATATTTGGATTTCTATGTTCATAATCTAATTAATCAATTATTTAATAGTAGTTAGATAAGTTTACAATGTATTATAAAAATAAACAATAAACTTACTATGCACAACATCTTTATCATGTAAACGATCAGTTGTAATAGTCCAATAATAAGGAGCATTTTGTACTATCATTCCCCACATTGTTTCATTATGTTCAAGATAAGAATAATGATATATATCATTATTAAATCCTTCCCATACACCAACATATTCACCTTCTTGCGTTAAAAAAAATCCTGATCTTCTTCCAAATTCATCTGCATTATATACAATCAAAAATCCTCCACTATATAACGGGATAAACCTTTCAATGTTCCTATTAGGGTTATTACCAAAATTTGATAATTTTTTAACACTTGTTACTGAGCCGCTAGATAAAAATGACAATCGATAACGTGTTGTAATAGTTATTGGTGTTGAAGTTACTGTTTTTCCTTTTCCTTTTGGTTGTTTCGGTTGGTTTGGTTGTTTCGGTGCGGGTTCATTATTTTTTATAGACAATAAACAATTATAACCACCACCATCAGTAGTTTTCCGACAAAATTCTAAAACTAAATCAGCCCAATCTACTGAAGTTTGATAAAGTAAATATGGAGGACTAATTCTATCAGCGTCTTTATCTAAAAAAATCGCGTGAACTTCCCAAATTGGGTCCGTGATGTAATAGTCGGTTGATTTTTGAATTTTGGTTACAAGGGTAAAACCGTTCCCTCCATCACTTGAAGTAAACATTTGAAATGATGTAATTATTGATAATGGACTAATAGATATAAAACCTGATCCTATTTTCTTAATTTCCGTTGGTTTTGACGGTCTAAATTTCAAATATAAAATTTTAATAAAAGTTTGTATTATATTTTATATTTGATTAAACTTACGATGGAATAAATTGTGACCATGCAATGGTAGTATCATTAACCTGTCGAGTCCACATAAATCCTGAATCATCATTTATATTAATGTTAATCTTTCCGATTCCAATTCCCAATTCAATATTCCTAAGAAAAAATAATAATAATAAGAATAATAATATATATATATATATATATATATAATATATATATATAAGTATATAAAAATTTATAAAAAAAAACACACCAAATTAAGTAAATACTTACTGCAACCAATTTCCGTCCCAATCAATGATCATTCCCATATGTATTGTTGTCGCAGCATTATCTCCATAAAAATAAGTTATTAAAATTGTATCTTCATTTATAATAGAATTGATAAATACATCATCCAACATACAATAATTATAAATGGGAATTTGATAAGAAGAAACATTTAATGGTTTAATAGCTCCATTAGGAAATACAATATCCAAATTTAAATTTGGATCAATACATGATTCATCCTCATTAAAATGGGCAAGTTGTAATAAAATGGTTCCATCCCTATAAGTATAACTGTCAAAAATAGTTAATCCTTTTGAAGGGTCCTCAAAATGAGTTAAATAAGTATCATGTTGTTGTGCATTACAAAGTAATATAAAATTATTAAAAAATAAAAAAATTAAAATAATAAAATAAAGTAAATGACAATGATTATTATGGATTATTAGTCTCCTTTGTTGTAATGGTAGATGTGATGAATTAATTATAATATACATAATTAAGATTTTTAATAAATACTTTTTTTAATAAAACAATAAAAAAAAAAAAAAAAAATATAATTTATCGGTTTTTGTTATAATAAAAAATTAATTTGTAGCGCATAAAAAATTATTAAATTATTTCAACGCTTACTTTATAAGAGGACCACATCAAATATTGTCACTCTTTTATTTATTTATTTAATATATAATACTAAAGGTTATTTTAAGTTCCGTGAATTCTATTATTATTTTTATATAAAACTACTTTATTTAGAAATTACATATAGGCTAAGATAATAAATAAATAAACAATGCAGCTTTGAGAATGAAATCATCACGCCCTCATCGAGTTTTAATCAGGAATAAATCGGGAAAATCAGGAAATCGGCTATATTAATTCCCGTTATATATATTACTATGGCTCATAATATAGCCTAAAGTAATTTTACTATGAATATAGCCTGATTAATGAATAGGTTACCCAAGTTACACGCTAAATCATATTTATTAGGGCTTTTTACCCTAGATTTATATTTATAATTTTTTTTTTTAAACCATTAAATTTGGCTTCTCATTTAATAACACAGTAATATATATATATATATATATATACAATACTTTTAATAAATATCGTCGCGCACGCCGCTAACGAGAAAAAAAAAATTATAACTTGGCGACTTTATCAATTTCATCTATGGATTTGGAACTAGAGTTTTTATTATACTAATAGTTTTTAAAAATTGTCTTAAAATCAGGACAGGTAAGCTATCAAAACCGGACCTCCACTAAAAATATCTAATAATTATCATTTGATTATACAGTATATAAAGTATTTACGCCCTTTAGTTCATAATTAAATAGATGTGATACATAATGTAATGCAGATATTCCGCATTGTGTTTAAATGTTCGATAATAGATGGTAATTTAATGAGGTAAAAAGAATATTTAACTAACGTGTTGATTTTTGAGGGGTTGAGTATTTATAAGGGTCAAAAATTGGAAAGACCAAGGGAGCATAATTCCTAAATGCAAAAGAATAATGTTAATTTGGATAATTAATTAGGATGACGTATTTAATATGATATGAACTTACTGACGGAACTTTTTGTTTTTTTTTTAATGATCCCTGTAAAAAAAGTCGATCCGTTTTTTATATTCCATCTTTTTTTCCGTAAAAGGCTCATATTTCCGGAATTAATAACCTTATATCACGGAATTTATCGAATTATTTACATTTTCCGGTGAATGGATCCGTGAAAGGCTCATTTTTACGCATTCCGAGGTTAAAGAAAAAACTCATTTTCCTAAAGCTATAAAGATTAATTATTAGTTTTGTTAAAAAAAATTTATAATATAAAATATGGACATTAATGTTATTATAAAAATTATCAATAATTCTATGAGTATTGATCCAACCTTAATGATTACTATTTATTCTCGAAATTAACTTATCATCAGAAGGGCTGGTCATTGGTCAAAATGCGCTCTAAATTAGTTGCACAATGAGAGAGAGTTAGAACAGATATTCGTTGCGTTGAGCGTTTAATGCATCAATACTAACCTTGATGAGAACTTCATCACGCTCGTTGAACAACTTTGCTTCAAAAAGATAATTTACTTTTGATCAAAGTGATCAAATTACACTCTGAAGTCATTATACATTCGAGTGTTTGAAAATATCTATAATTCCTAAGAGTTTAATCCTTCAAGGAGCCTTTACTTTAAGTACTTACGAACCTTTGAATAATTGTACTTAAAGAAAGGCGACTTGCTTTAATCAAAGTGGTTGTATTACCTCCACGAGTTACTGTACAGTATGTCTTACTGTATATGGAAACATTTATTCAAATATAATATATTAGTTAATATTGTATGTAAAACTTCATAAATAGAATGCCTGAACAATTGTCATGAAAAGAGAAATTACCTCTGGGCTATTATCGATGGTAATACAATTCATGTGCTAAGTAAGTAATCATATGATGTCCCAAATATTCATCTGTTATTAAAGGTGAAACAAAGTAGGCATATTCTATTATTATTCAATTATTATTAGTTTTTTTTTTACCCTTTTTTTTAGAAAAAAAAAAANTGTCCCAAATATTCATCTGTTATTAAAGGTGAAACAAAGTAGGCATATTCTATTATTATTCAATTATTATTAGTTTTTTTTTTACCCTTTTTTTTAAAAAAAAAAAAAAAAAAAAGAAAAAAAAAAATTTTTTTTTTTTTTTGTCGCCCATTTCCATTTATAAAATTCTACAGCATTAATTATCACACCAATGCAGAAAGTATATTATGCATTGGCGTGACAATTAGATTTGATGCACATTTATTTATGCAATGTATAAAAAATATTAATGGATCATGGTGCACGTGATTAGAATGACAATTGTTCTTTGGATAATATATAGAACGAGAATTAGAACGAGAATGGTGTTTTTTTTTCATAATTTTATCAAATTTTCTTAAATGAAATATTTGTTATTTCGCGTCAAACTCGCGAATAATAAAATATAACTTATTTTACAATCCTTCTAATGACGATTTTAACTAGATATGTTACATTATCAAAATTTGAATTTGATCGTTCAATTATCTAAAGAGATATCATTAATATCACCGAATCTTACACTCGAACATTATATTCTCCTTCTTTGGAAGATATTGAATATATTAATAATTTACAAAGCATTACATGATATTTTTAATACCAAACTAAAGAATAAATATTATTATTTAAATAACAAAGAACAAACATTTTTATGTATTAATTTAGATACAAATTATGATGAGAAAGATGGTGAAGGTGATGAATCTATTTCTAGCGAAACCACAAGTTGTGGTTATGATACATCAACTAGTATATCTACTTCTACCTTCTCAAATGATGATTATTCAACTATTGACTCATTTGCAGATCATGGATTAGGAGTTATTTGGACGAATACGAAAGAACATGGAGAATTTGGGACCATCATCGTAGATTATTATTTTTTAAAGAAATTTTTTGATTTCAATGATTGATTAAACTGCGGTGCGGTTTACATCTTGTATCATGTTAAATTTTATATGACCTATTTCATCTTGTTTTGTATTTCATATCATATACAAATTAGCTGGAACAATTATAATTAATTGAATTGAAATATGTTTAGGTGCGTGGTATTGAAAAATATTAAGAAATAAATTATGAAAAAAAACTCAGATTTTAACGTTAATTCATCTTTAAAATAAAAGAGTAAAAGAGAATTACGAGTTTAAAGATTTTGACGATAAATTAATTTAATTACGTAATTTTATAATTCTATTTTTTAATGTCAGTCCACGGTGCGAATGTGCAGTATTTAATGTTTAAGTATAGTCGCGTATAAGTGAATAGAGTATGGTTTTACAGATAGAAACTAGTTTTCTTCACAGTACTTCATCACATTTCTTTTTACAATCAGTATATGTTAATTTGAAATCAGGAGTTAGATCCAAAAAGAAATACATATAATTTTTAAATGTAGATTATTTTCCTAAAGAGTAAAAGAAATGTATGTTCTACCTGTAAAAAAAGTCGATCTGTTTTTATATTCCATCTTTTTTTCCGTAAAAGACTCATATTTCTGGAATTAATAACCTTATATTACGGAATCCGGGAAAGGCTCATTTTTACAGAAATAACAGAAAATGGACAAAATCATCTGATTCACAAAGAAGAATCGTGATCTTTAGCACGTGCCTCGTAATCTCGAAATTCGGCGCAGTAATAAAATCGCTTTTGCTACAATGCGTTAAGGGTCAAAAGAAAGCTTACAATAATATTTTGGAATGGCATATCATGATTATAAAATATAAGAGTAAGAATGAATCGAAGATATTGAATTGTTTTAATTTTTTTTAATCTCATTGCTAAATGTGGCTCCATCATTTTCTTTCTTAATAATAAAGCTCATTTGGACGAGAATTTCTAAATTTTAAACGTGTGATGTGTGTTATTAACCGACTATCATGATTAATAATTGCAGTTGAGATATTTTGGTCATTTGTACTTTAAATCTATAGTAAATTGGTCCATTTGATGTTCAGGTTTGCCAACACTATTGGTATTAAACTTGCGAGATAATATTAAAAGTATATACTAAATAATTTGGTGAATGATATTAAAAATTGCTAGACAAAAGCTTTAATCCAATAGATGATGTTACATAAGGATTGTTTGGTTTCCGAGTCATCACCGCGTATTTCAACGGAAGTAGATTGAGAATTGACGCGTTAGGATGCATCTTGATTTGATGGTGAAGCAGTGTTCGCTGGAGAAAAAGTTTGGATTATGATTTTAAATATTGAAATATTCAAACGAAAAGTGTTACGACCAAATATGGCACAATATGCGTTATTATGGACTTGTCCTTTATTGTCTTGTTCTATACTCTTTATCAGTGTTGGGTTTTGGACTTGTCCAATTGGTTTTTTTAATTGGACAATTTTGGACTGTCCAAAACCAGTTTTGGACATAGTTTTGGACATAGTTTTGGACAGTTTAAAACTGCTCAAGAGTCCTAATATTTATTAACTGAAACTAAAAATAAAATGAAAATATAATGTTAAAATGTTAAAAAAGTAAATATTTAATATAATTAAATAATAAAATTAATGTAAAATTAAAATAATATTAAAAATTAACATTTAAAGATTTTTGAAGTAATTTAATAATTGAACTAAAATTAAAATTAGCCAAAATTAGTCATAATTCTGGCCAAAATTAAATTTTTTGTCATGTGATCTGTCCAAAACCTGTCCAATGAAAAAAAGGTTTTGGTTTTGGACAAGTTTTGGACAGGTTTTGGACAAATGTCCAAAACGTCCAATTGTCCAATTGCCCAACACTGCTCTTTATATTGTAAAATTTTCAATTAATTCATACCTTTTCGTGCTTTTTCAATATCTTTCTCTAAAAAAGATTTTCATAGCCATTTCTTAAATAATTTTTATTGGTGGGTACTTGACTGTCGGAATTGAAGAAATACATCAAAGAATTTCAATAGGAAAATTATCATTTGGATTTAATGGTTCTATTTCGCTAATAAGAAATAATTGTAAAATTTAAAAAAAGTCTTATGAAATATTTTGGTATTATTTTTTTAAAAAAACTTAGCTGTTCTTCTATAACACCATAACACATAGTTCACAGGCAAAACTTGAAAATTCTAACAAACTACCCAGTAAATAGTCATCGTCTGTAATTTATATTGTATCGAATCGTACCCAAAATCTACAATTGAAAAAAACAAGAAACATTAGTAACTGTTTCTTTTTTTTTAAAAAAAAAAATAGATAAATAAAATGAAAAACTAATGACTTTAACCACCGAAAAAAGGATCCAAAGAAAAAATTTAAGTTTCGCTGGCGTAACTTACATTCCAGTGTCCCAAGCACGAAACCATCGAAACCTACAAAAGAAAGTAAATAGAAATGTTAGCAAACGTTTCTAATTATAAGAATAAAAACTAAAAAATTTATATTACGTTGAGAAACTTACAGTTCCGGTGTCTCTAAACGTATTCTGGATCTGAAACCTAAAAGAAAGTATATAGAAACGTTAGTAACGTTTCTAATTAATAATAACAATTTTTTTTTTTTTAGTTTCTTAACGGCACATTACGAAATTTACGATTCTAGCGTTTCCAAAAAAAAAATGAGAAACGTTAGTGAACGTTCCAAATTAATAAAAATAAAGAAAGTTTCGCAAAGAAACTTACCGCCTCCCAATTCACTCAAAAGTCCAAAACCTACAAAAGGATACAAAAGAAACATTAGTTTATGTTTCTTTAAATAAAAGTCAGAAAATAAATTTTCGAAATTACGAAACTTACTAGCACCCATGATTCCGTATTGGAAGAACCTACAAAAAAAAATAAAGAAACGTTGGTCAGTCAACGGCTCAACGCTTCCTTTAAAAAAAAATAAGAAGTTTCGAGATTTTACTTACCTTTAACTTTTTCCACGCATTCTGTAAAATAAAGTTAATAACGATGAAAGAAGATAATTTCTTTTAATCGTCATATTAAATGTTTTGTCATATTTCTTTGATATCAATATGCAGATAATAGGAGGCGATGATAAGTACAATCTAATTACTATACTAACTTAGAACTTTATTTTTTTGTATCAAAATGGTACTTGACTACAGCCAACATACAGTATCAGATGGTAGTAAATATGTTCAACCTAAAGATATAATTTTTAATCGGCAGGAATTTCGCAGATGCATACTTTATTAAAGATTGAAGAGATATTGTTAAATACAGAACTTATTTTTTCTCATATATCCCTTTATTACCCTATAAAAAAAAATCTGGAAAAGACTGATAAATCTAGTTTTTATTCCGAAGAAACTCGGACACGTGATCATTTTTCTGAAAAATTTTTTATTAATATAACATTTTTTTTTTATAAAACGAATCACAAATGATGTCATCTACAGAAAAACAATCAATTTCTATAACCTACCGAGAACACTATATAACTTACCTTAGTCAACACGACATTATTAACCACCACACATCTAGACACCAACCGATTTTAATCCCCTGCCAAGGATGCAATTTACATACTCCATATCACCGAGACCTTCGTCCTAAATCTCTACAACTTTACTTACATCTCACAAAATTTTCAGTACACAAAAAATCTTATTCACCAAAAATTGACACCAAACATGTCCCCAAAAACGTGTTTTTCCCGTTAACAACTTATTTACCTTTCGGACGCGCGTACAACATCTACTTACACCTCACCGCTCTTTAATCACGCCACATCACCACCAGCGGTTGATCACAAAATATGAATGTCCCCCTTCTCACTTGACGTATCACATTGCAAATTGTATTATAGGAAACGAAAATTCCATCAAATTATTGAACACCCTAGCACGGTCCCTATTGAGCGAACATAACATAACCTTATACACAGGTGAAGCATTAAGACCATCCTTTTCTTTAACAGACACGACTCCGACCACTACCAATATGGGATTCGGTTGGGTCAAAATGAATACTAATTCTCCACCTTATACTTTCCATGGTAAAACTTCATTCACGTCATCATCAACAAAAGCGGAATGCTTTGCTATCCTCACGGCTTTACTAATTTGCCCACCAAAGAGCATGATCAACATATATACAGATCGCAAAATTGTATTAACACTTTTCATCTCGTCAACAACGCACCTACATCAGATAGAAGAGTTCTAAAAATCAACAACTACCATGCATGGCGCATGATCAAATATTTAATCAACGACATGAACCTGAGCGTCACCCTACACAAAGTCAAAGCACATTCTAACAACTTAACTTTTACAACGAAGCGGACGCCGAAGCAAAAAAGGGCCTCGATGTCCAGCCAATCTTCATCAATCCAAAATTCGTCCCAGACGCCACTATATCATCATTTTGGGATTCTATTGGCACCATCGATAGGGACATTAGAAAATTCAGTAAGACCATCACAGACGCACAAACTTTTGACTCTTTCACCCACAACACCAAGTTACAAGATACTTTCTCGCATCACAAACTGTCGGACATTAATTGGCCAGTTACGCAAGCCTGGCTCAAACACAACGAAACATCAGACGTATGCAGCTCAGAGAAATCAAAGAAAGACGCATTTAAACTGAATCACATATTACCTTGTGGTGATATACTAACTTCACATCATCCTTCATTCCATCAATTGCAAAGTGGAAGACGATACAATTTCACATTCAGGTTTTTGTTCTTCCATACTTCCTGAACTTAACCGCATCATCAAAGACTTTAAAGCGAACCTCAATACCAAAATTTCTTTACACGCGGACCATCGTCGAATGACGTTTTTTCTGAATCAAGATTTAAACACGTCTCCTCTCTTCCGACCTATTTCGGATAATCGCACCCAGTGTACTTATTGATGCATAACTTCATTCCACAACTCCTCGTCTCCTCGTGGACCTCATCAACAAACATACCAATCGATTCAACATCACAAAACGACTAGCAATAGAATTTATGTTACAACTGCAAACCAAATTATATTCCGTCATCTGGTTCAAACATACCGACGCTATGAAACAATGGGAACT